TTTCGGTTATATCCGTTGTTGGCTGCAACACAATATAAACACCCAGCTGCCCTCGGTGAAGGCGATGATAGTCTGAAAGTTTAGAAAAGTTTGTTCACACTGACGTTTAGTGTCAGCGACCGATTCGCATAAGCACAATAGACTGTAACTTAATTCTATGATGTACTTACTTTTTTCCAAAGACTTTTTCGACGTTCTTCCCTAGCACGCACGACTTGACTTGTTATTCAAATATTCGTCCACTTTTTGATTCATACTTAAAAATTATCAAATGGCCTAGATATCTGTAGCCACAAAATTCAAAAAACGATGTCCCAAAACCGTCATAAACTGGGATTTATTCAGTTCATTAGTGTTGGGAAGATACCGTTCTTGATAACGTCGACGAAGAATACGACCGTTAACACCGTTGAATACAACATCTTCACGTTAGCGCCATGAAAGCTGAGAGTTCCAAAGTCACCAAGGGATGTCTGCCTCCAGAAACACTCAAGCTGATACCCCAACGTGGAATCGCACGAGCTGCAGGCAACCGCGACCTGTCGTCCGAAATTGAAAAACAATGCAGACAGGGGATAAAAGAAGATCTTAAAGAAAGAAGAGCAGCAGTAATGGTCGAAGCTGCAGAGGCTGGGAAAAGCATTCGCAAAGCCCACCGAAGCTTCGCCAATTACAAGACCAAGACGATTGCGCTCTGACATCCAAACAGAAAAATTACAACGTTCGGAAAGGAAATAGAGAAACCATTCACGAATACTACTCAGATCTCTTTAATAGTCAAATAGCAACTTCCTCTTGCCGTCATACGAAATAAATGAGCACGGATATATCGCCCCACTAGTTTTACGTTCCGAAGTCCGACATGCGATTTCGTCACTGAAGAATTAAAACAATACCTGATCCGAACAGGATAGGACCCGAAAACTTGAAGAACCTCCCGCCAGTCCTCATCATCACACTGGATCGGCTCTTCACACGTTCACTTTCTGAATGCAAAGTCCCTACCCAATGGAAGATCAGCAAGACTGTGTTATTGTTCAAGAAGAGTGACCTACACGATTTCGGCAACTATTGCCGAATCTGCTTACTCTCTGTCGTATGCAAACGTTTCACTGGAAACATTCTAAACAGGATCGACAGAAAACTGAGAGAAGGAGGGCCACGTGAGCAAGTAGGGTTTCGAAAAGGATTCAGTACGATGGACAACATCCACACGATAACAGGACTCATCGAAGTGTCACGAGAGTACAAAACGCCGTTCTATCTCACTTTCATCGATTTAAAGAAGGCCTTTGACTCGATTGAGATAGAAGCAGTCATGCAAGCCCTGGAGAGTCAGGAATCCCTACTCAGTTCATAAAGATTCTTTGTGAGCTGTACAAAAATTCCACAACCAAGGTATCACCATTCTACAACGATGTTAACATCAACGTCAAAAGAGGGGTTAGGAAAAGCGATACCATCTCGCCAAAATTATTTACCGCCACCCTCGAGAACGTTATTCCAACATTGGAATGGGATAATATGCGAGTGAAAACCGACGCTCGGCAGTTACACCATCTTTGCTTTGATGATGACATCATCCTTATAACGCAAAACATTAACCAGATAGAGCGAATGCCTGCCGACTTTGGTAAAACTTGTGGAAAGATTGGTCTTCCAGGAACGGATTGGTTACGTATGCCCCGTTCAGGCTCTACGGAATGAGTATCTCCAAATGTTCCAGTTACGTCTGTTTATGTCGGGATATCAACGAACGCGCTAGCTACAGAGTTGAGCAGAAGGAAACGAGCGGCTTGGGGAGCTTTCAGCCGCACTAGGGATGTAGTGAAGAGAACAAAGAACACCCGACTGTGTGCCCACTCGCTCCCAAGATTTTTCTTGCCTTAATTTACGCGTCAGAAACCTGGCCGTTGTGTAAGGTGAATGAAGGACGTTAGCAGTACCTCGCAAGTGAGAGAAGAGATTCGAGCTCTCACCTGCATCAACGATCAAAAATCAAAGATGCCGTTCTGTACGCCAAACGGTCGAAGGTAAGGTGGGCCGGACACGTAGTGCGTGTGAATGAGAATCGATGTACTACAGCCGGTAGTGACTTGATTTCTCGGGATGTCAAACGCACTGCAGGAAGACCACCGACGCGATGGTTAGAGTTGTTCACGAAAGGCTAAAAGAAGGATATGATTCTCATGGAGTCCGTAGAGCGAGCAGAACTCATTGGGCTACTGTTGCGTGCGACTGGGAGAAATGGAAAATTTACTGGCGTCCACTCTAGTCACTCGACGATCAACAACAGGTGAACAGGTGATACGTGTGGGCCCGAGTTGTCACGAAACCATCTCGACTAATTGGTGACGGCATTTGTTTCAGTTTCTTGTGTAATCTCCCTGTTTGGTGGTAGTAGATTTTTATCGCAAATCAGCGATTGTACTCATCGTTTTCGTGTAACGCTTCTGAGATTTAACTACTGGAGATTTCCATCGTTATAGAGAATCTGTTCGATCGAATGTTACACTTCGAACAAGAATCTTATCGATAGAGTCCAACTTAAAGAGTGGACCTGTCCTTTCAGAACTTTTGTGTCGAAGAAATCAGTGGACATACACACGTCAAGTTTTTAGCCTTTTCAAACACATTTACTTGTTCAACGTTCAATAAATTTTTTGAAACCTATTTTAGCAATGGTTAGCTAAAGGTCACCTTGGACTTCATTGGAAGATCCTGATCCATTTCCAAAGGTCGGTCAGCTTGTTCCTATTCTTCTAATTACACACCTTCCTCATTTGTGATTTTCATAATAACCTGACCATTTTGATTGCGATGTTTCTAGAGCCCATTGGCATGTTTTCCCACCTCTCAAAGGTTTTTAATTCTGCCACCCTTATGTGGCTTTGTTTGAACTGTTGAAAGGAACCACTAGAAAAGCAGTCTTGTCTAAAACATTAGAAGAAGGCCTGATAAGTAGAAAAGTCGAAAGTAAAAAGGCAAAGAGGTCTATCAAAATTCAATCTGTTGAGGGCCTTTTTTAGAAAGCCTAATATGAGAAACCTGGCAATAAGTGAGTTAACATTCTTGCAACTCTTTCTCGATTTCCGCAATAACTTTCTGGGTGTATACTAAAACGTGGAAACAACATTTATGCCTTCAAATTTTAACATCTGAGCTCACAGCAAATTCTTAAATCTTATTAACATTTAGGAACCGGCACCTACATTCGTATAGCTGACGCGTCTATTTCATTCTAATTTCTGAGCGCACTCACTGTGAGTGGATCTCAACTCAGACCGGTCACTACGTAGGCCTACACGGAAGTCGAAATCCATCCGAACCGGTCCCTAAGTATTAAATCACATAAAAACCAGATCTGCAGATCTTCAGCACAAAAAAGAACAGTATTTGAGAAAAACAACTTAGAGATACGACAAAGTATCATCCATTCTGCTGAAGTTTGTTCAGCTCTAAGGGACTCAAGTATTATGTGTAGAAAGGATATTGGCAGTTATAAAAACCCAACATTGTAGCTAAATCAAATTGTATAATAATACTAAAGCGGAACAGGCACATTAGTGCTGCGACGTATGGACGTTGAAAAAATCACAACGCTCTTCGCAACAACCAGATCACTAAGAACACCTGCAGGTGTCATATCTCAGAAAACATTACAACTATCAACACCTTATACTTTATTCAGCAGTCCCTACAATGAATCGATGTCAACATGAAAAGTGTTTGGCAAGTACATCTCTATTCGGCGATCAGTACTTTTCACGTTGATCTTCTTTCCCTCGAGTTTCTCGTTCACATGATCGCTTGACACATACAGGCGATGGATGAACTCCTGTAAGCATCGTTGTCATTCATTATAACTATCTATCACAATATTCGAATTTGTCCTCCTACATCGTTATCGACTTTCTTCCCTAGTCATAACAATCGCCGCCAGGCTATAGGGATGAAGGACCTATCCCTGATGACCGGCGACTATCTGTGGAAATAATCAAAAACACCGTTGCATGGCTACCTCTGGATTTTAGATCAAGCAAAAAAAAAACCCGTTCACCACCTTCTCGATTATCAAAAAAAGTTATAGTCGGCACGACGTTTCAAGCTTCCATCTACATCTGACGATAAGACTACAGATAAACAAGAAGACAGACAAACCAGCTTAACAACAATCCACTATCCACAGATAGATGGCCTACGATAAAGCAATAACGCAAGCCTTTTTGTACATCTATCTATTGCATATCCTCTGCTATTCACTATTACCCACACTGGATCCACTGATTTCGTATCGCACCTCTTGACTCTAATCTGCACTAAAGGATCTTTCATCAAACACAAACTTGTGGAGCTGATGAGATAGAATTGGACGTGTTCGCTTGAACGAGGTGAACAGAGGTACTACACTACAAGTTTGATTTTGGAAACTTCACGAAAGTCGTGTATAAAAGGAACATCTTATACAAAATTCTCATCTTGTATAACACAAGCGACATATTGAGAGATATCCAAACGGAGACTACGCACTTGATTAACGGCAAAACCTTATCGAATGAGCCGTACTTTCTCAGACAAGTAGTTTTGAGGTCATACAAGATATGAATGAGTCCGACTACTATCAAGGAGATTTTGTGATGACGACAAAACAGGCTAATGTTAATTCAAGCTGGATGTCACCTAGTATGGATGATATGACAAACGCTGCCTACGGAAGACCAATAGAAGATACAGAATGCTAAGAGATGTTAAGTGATTTATGAAGATGAGCCACTTTAAATGCCTAACCACCAAAACATAACCATTACGGAAATGCGAAGCAGGGAAACTGGTCACAACCATAATGCTTGCATTACTGAAGGATAAAGGATGTAAGGAGGATATGCACTAATAAAACGCTAAGAAAAAGCATATCTTAGTGCTTCCGTCCTGTGTTTTAACCATATTTTAACACCGTCGAAGAAATAGGATGACGGTGAAATTTATAGCAATAGGTACTTTTAGCAAAGATGTACCGGTATTTTAAGAAAAGTCAGCGAAATAGCTTTGGCCAGCAAATCGGTCGAGTAGAATTGCTCATTGTCACTTGCACCGACTCGATTCGCTGAACAACGTTTCCAACCATCGGCAATAATTCCATAACGTCCCGCATCTTCACCACCCATTCTAACTCGTAAACAGGCGGTATCCTGGAATCGAATTTGCTTAGAAGAAAACTGAGTCCAATGACTGAGATGTCGAATGTTTCCTAGTACCTCTTGTTGATTATTCTCGATAATTAAGTCAGTGCCCTTCAAGTTCACCTCACGTATTTGTCCACAGTTGTCATTTACAATATGCGAGTAGTCTTTCTTTGCTGAAAACACGCATTCAAAATTATTCAGATTAACTGTGGAAAACAACAATCTACTTTCATGTTCAGGATACCGCGGTGGACCAGTGAGGATATGCCACCATCTCCAAGTCGGAGGCTCGAACAACACTGCAGAACGACATGTTCGACAACCCGAGCATGACTCCTCATATTGCAGTTTTACTTCCATATCCACTGGTGAATGCTAGAAAGAGTGGATAACAGATTGCTTCAATGTCACATTCACAAAAATATTGGAATACATGCTTGGAAAGGAGCACATATTTGCCTTGTGATACCCAGTTTGTAAAGTAAACTTTGAGCCTTAATTTTCGCTAAGAAGATCAATCTAAGATCAAGATCTAAGAGCTTAACTCTTTCAACAGTTAAGGAACAGTCGAGAAAAATTCAGCAGTTACTTAGATAGTTGGATGGTCCCTCTTCACTGGTACTGCTAGTAATGGCACAACTTCCACTTGTTTCTCTCGCGTAATCGTCGTCCATGATGGTGGGTGCTCTGATTCCAACATGTTAATGTCCGCGAGGCCCATTCTATAATTCTAAAATCGTTCTCATCTGCGAATGCATCTGCATAGACGGTTGACGTTAGCCATGAACAGGTCCTCCTATCGTCTAGGTGGTAGTCTAAGTGGAAGTTTGCGCTCTCTTGGAGTAAACCCCACTGTTCCTTCAGTCACCTATTAAAAAATAACGCTCTCGGCGCTGATCTATCCCTGAGGGAAGCGTCATGCATTTGACTTCATTGGCCTACCGATGTATCGAGCTAGTGTTGCTGTCCTCCCAGACAAGTTTGGTGCCAATTTGCGACCCCGGAGGAAGGGATGGCTTGGTGTGCCTGGCGCCTGGGGAGCGATCCCATGTGCATTTCAGGGCACCTCTAACCACTGCGCTACACGCACCGTTCCACCAAGAAGGCCCAGCGTTCCACTATGGTGAGATGGCCGAACGGTCCACCTGTTATCTGTTCATTTTATGTGACCGGCCCATCCGTTCTTGCCTCCAGGATTCCAGAAACAGTTGCCGACTCGTTAAGCACTATCATTAAAAAGCCCTCAATCAGCTGTCCATGGGCGAAATCAGAAAACCTTTATAGATTAAAGATGAGAGAAAACGAATCGAATAGAGGAAATGCCACAACTCGTATAACATGCAATGTTGTGTCGTGTCAAAAAAATATGTGCATGAAATATACTGCAAATTCAACAAAGGAATGCGAGTAACCGAAAACCTTAAAACCTTATTCTGAATAATTTTAACAGATCAGAAGCATGTGAATGAAAATAACAGCATACCGCTTACCTTTAACATCTCCCATAAATAAGCCCATCGTCGTTTCAGTGGCCCCAAATACCACAATTTCCGTCGTCTTTCCTCGATGTGACGGAACCAACCAGCGCCCACGTCGCCTACACTGTAGATCGACTTTATATGTGATTCAGCTCGTTCCTTAATAGTTGTATTCACAACGAATTATACCATTACGTTTGATGACGACATGCGTTGATTCCAATGCGTTTTGTTTGGCGTGGTTCGTTACACCACCCATAATTTTTCGCCATATTTTTTGTATTTAATCGATAGCTCCATTACAGAAATTTTATATCAGGCATTGTCCGAGAAAGCCTTTCTCTACACATCAAAATTACTTTCCAGGCAAGTTTTTTCGCTTTGATGAATCCCGCTGAGAGATGTGCTGGTGAGGACAGTACGAAGATCCCTTTGCTGTACTTAAACATAGAATCTCTAAATAAACATAAATGAATCACCTCGCCAAAAAAGGTTGCACATCATTCAGAAGTCTTTTACAGCCATTTCTGCAGTTTTTAAAAAGACTAGACCTTCACAAATTGCCTACCCGGTTCAATAATGAGTACAGTGCTTTTATACACATTGCTTTCCAACTGTTTTTCTCATTACCGTTCATTGGCATCATAGATGCACTCAGTAATAATTATCGTACAAGCTCAGGTATTCAGAACTTGGAATTTTTACATTAAATCTACAATTTCTGCTACTTAAAACCTCCGCAGTTTGGACTTTTGGAAGCTATCGTTGAAATAATCTGACCGGAAATACTTCATAGTGCCAATTGACTTGGCAGGTGCTACAACGGATTTCGAGTTGTAGTACTGTTTAATAAATGAAGTATGACTGCCAACACAACGCCATAATTTTCAGTCCATGGACGACTGGAAGTGGAGGCACTTTACTGAGAAAAGCGTTTGTATGTAGATGGGAAAACGACGATGGCAACACTTTTTTTCTTTGCTGGTATTTGGAGAATAGGACTTAATATGGCTACTTGTCTCCAAGAAGACCTTCCTTTGGTCGTAGCTTAAGGCACACCATCACTTAGTGGTCAGCAAATTAGTTGTATACTTGTGTAAGGAGGACAGAACTCTGAAGTGATACGTCGACAAGCCATCGCAACTCATTCTAAAGGCCAAGTATGTAGTCAATCACTTCTATGATGGGTAGTTGAGTAGAATTTATGGTGCAGTCTTAAAAGATGGATCAATGCAAAATGTTTCACTCTGCTGTACTTTTACCATTGCACTTTAGCATCGATACACAGCTTTGTGTGGTGCCTTTAATTGTCTTTTCCTCGGATTATGGTGAATAACCTATTTTCGTGATCTCTTTATATCCTTTCTGCGTGTGTCAAAGAGATGGGCCTACTTTAAAGTAAGTTGTTAACCAATGGGACCCTTATATCCTAATTATCAACGTACAAATGCCTTCCTTTATCCACCAAATCCTCCACGAATCGTTAGTACCAAGTCAGCCACAGTCACAGTCCTAGATAGGCATTCAGCTGCATACAGTATAAAAATGATAAAGGATAAAGCTCTCGGCACTGATCAATCCCCGAGGGATGCGGCATGCATTCAACTTCATCAAGCATCGATGGACTTGACTAAATGCATATCTGGACTTTATAACGACTCGCGGCGGCCTAACGATGTATCGAGCCAGTGCTGCTATCCTGCTAGGCAAATTTGGTACCAACTTGCCGACCACGGGAGGGTGGAAAGATCGGTGAGCCTAGAACGCAGGGATCAATCAAATGTGCATTGCAAGACACCTCCGAGCACTACGCTACACACGCTCTGCATATAGTATAACCTTATATTTCGTATAGCGATAAAGAGACATAAAATAGACTAAACAGCACAGATATCTCTGTACACTCAACTCACTCTCTCACTCTCTGTCTCTCAATTACATTTCTTTTTCTGATGCGGGTGCTTTCTGTAACTTTGTAACAGTTTCTCGCCGACAGAGCAAACTCGTCCGGAAAATAGTTTTTGTAAACAGTAAGAAAGGGTTAAGAGCATGGCATTTCAGGTTTCCAGCACAATAACCTGCATTGAATAAGCTCTCGATCAAAGACAAAATATAAAAAGTTTCGCAAAAATCTCTCCGCTGCAAAATAAATGATCACGAAAAAGAGCAGATGATTGTATACACTCACAAATATGAGTGAGAAACCATTAATATTGGACTTCTAGTATTCAGATACATGTATAAAACATGTAATGAAATCTCTTCTGACCAATAAAATACAGATTAGGGCAATTCACCTAGTTTTATCTATGAAATCATTAAGCTAATGCATTCAAACTTAGTATGAATAGTGCTGGATGTGCAGGAAACAGATGAAGAACCATAACTCGCTTATGTATCGTACTTACCACAGTAATCTCGAAAGCGTTCACATAGCGACGCTCATCTTCAATAAGAGCCATTGCGCTTTCACACATTCGTCTCACATCTCGTGAAGACTCTTGAAGAAAGCTCTAATTTTCAGTTTTTTGTAGAAAATAAGTGTTTCGTGGCTAAGTTTTGCTACTTCTAATGGTGTGAATTTCATCACAAACATATGTAATCAGAAACTGTAAAGATCTTACCAAAAATATCTGGTACGAGACGTTTCAGTGACAGATTATCATAACCTCCCGGAAATACTCCTATAGGTAATACGCTACTTTCCCTAAATTACAAACCATAAATGCGTAAGTTATGCAACTAATTGAAGAACCTTTAACCTTAACGAACCTTTAACGACTAAAAATTGGGTTAAGTTCGGTACCACATAATGTCAATCTTCAATAAATTATTACATCAACATGGCGGATATGTGCTTCTAAATGTTGGACTACGATGTATAACAAGCAGATAGTCTTTAGCTAGGCATGGTAAGTGATGAGAAATTCAGCATTTCCAATCGGAGAAGTCCACTTATGAGCATGACTGCGCCACAGCCGAGCCCGACTAAATTACTCCAGGCCAGATTTTCGCCAAAACGGTAAACACGTACGGAACCAAACACGGGATGTTCATCGTGCTATACGATACGATGCCCAATAAGCAACTGGAGTATCAAACATGCACAAACAAAGGTCACTGACATCCACTCGAGTGACTCCACGATTATTGGAAATACAGAGGGTAAATGAGCGCATGCCTCCCAACAGCTTATCGCTTCATCGTGGCTGAGAGGAGTTCCTGGGCGTCAGCCTGCGATGCACAGCGGGAGAGGGGTTCAACCATCCAGTAGTGTCTCGCTAGCTAAGGAGTCCGGCGTTTCCACCAGGAAGCCTAGCTAAGAGTAAACCAATATCAGATCTACCACTGTCCTAGTATAAAACAAGTCGCATGGTGGCAAATCTCCCTCTAATCCACAAGGGCGGCAACTGCCTATGGTGGTGACGACCTAGACCAAACTTTGGCTAGACTGACCTCGGGGCTCCAGGAAACCACGATGTCTAAACCAGCAAAACTCCGAAGAATGGAGATTATGCTGGGGTCAGCACAACCTGTGAGAACGGGCCATCCAATATCCAAGTAAGTAAGTAATAAGCCTAAAGCATAAGACCTCGGACTCACCTATGCTGTAAGATACCTGTCACAACTCTTCCCAAGGTACCATCTCCTCCGACTACATAGATAGCATCAGCTTCCTGCGTATCTACTGCTGCCGCTAACGTCTCCATCTGGCTTTCACTGTCTGACTTAATCAAAGGATTTTCGAGATAAAAGACAATAAAATAACGTCCTTAAGATCATCCGTATTGCTACCTAAACATTTCAAACGTGTCTGAGTAAAAATAATGCGATCGATCGAATCTGAAAACGCGTTAAAGACTAGGATGCCCTGCTAACCTTTATAGGAAAACCGACGAACACACTTTTAGACAACAGTAGTTCAGATTCTACCATTTAGAAAGAAAAAGCGGAGCTATTTTAACTAATGCGTGAAATTGGATCTGATTTAGGGTGCTACTGGCAAAAACTATTCCGCCTTCGATCGATGGTGAAGAAGCGGTAACTTGGCTTTAATAGTGCGGACTCCAGAACCTGATTATCATAATATTTCGTGAAAATCCCAAAATATTTCCGATATAATGGAACACAGCGAACAAAAATAAACTGCTATTATGACTCTTCTAGTTACTAAAGAAAATTGTTACATATTTTACTGATCACTGTAGGGAAGAAAATAAAATAAAAAAATACACCTTGATGACATCCACTTGTAGACCTGCTAAGTGCAACAATGGCAACGCGTTTTTGACAAAGTCGTCATAACAAGAACGTTCGTTCGATGTAACGTTGACCAGAACAGTAACTCGGCGAGGTCTTTCCTCTGCTAGAAATTATGTCCATTGCCACCAATATAAAAAAATGAAAGATAAAACTGTCGACGTTGATCAAACTTTGAAGGAGGTGTCATGCATTCGACAATTATCGTTAGGGGGTGACTGAATGCGTATCTGGCCTTTATAATGACTCGCGGTGGCCTACCGATGTACCGAGTCGGTGCCACTCTCCTCCTAGACAAGTTTGGTACCAATATACTGAACCCGGAGAGATGGAAGGCTTGGCGAGGGTAAGGCGTGGGGATCAATCCCACGTGTATTGGAAGGCGCCCATGACCACTGCGCTAAACGCACTGGTACGCCACGGCCACCAAAGCACATGGAATCTACCCAACACAAAGCTTTTTGTTCCCCATTTTCTAACCATACATTCCATAAACTACATACGTTGACGTCCAGCCATTCACAAATTCGCTCGAATAACCTTTAGTAAGACTTGTTGGGAAAAACAATCTTCTGAAGGCTTACTCACCAGACACTGTAGCTGCCCCGTATTTTCGTGCTTGCCGAGCGTACGCAGCTCGGATTTTTCCATTCCTGAAACTAGTGACCATTCGCTTCAAGCATTATATGAGAAAAAAAAAGCGAACTGGTTTTTCTTTCATGACCATATCCAAATATCATGTTATAATTAAAACTGCGCAAATTTCACCCAGAAGAGAGTGAAAGAAAACAAAATTATCATCGATCTGAGAAATTTCGGACGAAATCAAGAAACAATCGGCAGAATCTTCAATGCCGCTTCCTTGTAACAACGAAACAAAAATTCCATTTCACAGATATCTAAAAATTATAACAGAAAACCATCTTTAACACGCTGTGAGATTCTCACTAGCCTTTCCCGTTCTGGTATTGAAGTCCTTAACCAGAAATTTATAGGACTTTGTCGATGAGGATTAGTTTCTACAACTGAGAGTAGAACCCATCTAAAAAGCACTCATTAGCTGCATCCATCGGTCACTACCAATTGGTGGTTTTGATTTCTGTGAACCTGGCTAGAAGACATGAGATGGTATAGCGAAAGGAAAAGATCTCGAATGATTCAACAAGACGGGGGGACTTTCGTGAAGGTTTGCGTCACTCACATCTCATGACTAAATCTTTTCTTCCCGAATGACATGGGTTCCATCGTTTAATGAGCAGATGTGAGCAAATGTAGACGAAACGCAATGTCACACTTCAAGCGTACTCGGACTATTCATTACCTACTAGTGTTGTTAGCGTCTCCATGAAATTAGAACTGAGCTAGTCACCATATGTTGCGTGATAGGTCATACCTTTAGTGAATTCTTGTTTCAGTGGACTATAAATCGAAAATACAGCACATATGGATTAACCACAAGATGCAAATCGACCACAGACGGTGAAGAACAATTACCCTAAGCTTCAACAGCTATTAAAGGGATCAATTATCGTTTGATTGTAAAAGCCTGGGTCATATAGTGACATGTGCAACTAGACATGACCACGGAAGAAAAAGAGTCGTGATCTTGCAATTTTAGCAAGGTAAGAAGATATTCCTCCCAGCGCTTTACCGCCTCATCGTGGTTGGAAGCTGTTCTTTGGTGTCGGGCTACGGTACACAGCGGGGATCATCCCGACGGCAGGGTCTCCCAAGCTCAGAACGTGTCCGGTGTTTCCATCAGAATGTCCAGCTACGAGTAAACCAATACCAGGATCCACCACCGTCCTGGTATCAAACTAGTCGCGTAGTGGCATATCTCACTCTAATCCACAAAAGCAGCGACTGCCTATGGTGGTAAGAACCTAGGCACATTTTGGCCAATCTGACTTTAGGGCTCCAAGAAACCACAATGAATAAAGCAGCAAATCTCCAGGGGATGAAAATTGTACTGGGACCCGCACAACAAGTGAGGACGGACCATCCAAGTATCTAAGTAGAAGCAAAAAAAGTGTTTAGAAAATAGGCAATCAACGTACATTCGTAAAGTGGCCATGTAGTTCGCTCCAACACAGACGAGAATTCCAGCAACAATGGACTTCTTTTTGTGTTCCCATATGGTCTCACCTATACTTTGGAGTTTTGTCAACACTTTTCTCATATCTAAAACGAAACAGTGGACCATTTAAACTGAAACTGAAAAACCTTCCGTTACATCACAGATTTCAGCTGGACGCAGAGCATGGAAATACCGTTAACTATAAACAGCCTGGAACGAAGAAATTGCTTTATTGACGAAGCATCCTCAAAAATGAACATAAAGGAAGATTGAAATAAACATAGCATCACATGCATGAGAGTCACGCCCACTGTATGGGTTTACATGGGAAGAAAAAAAACCAGTTGATAACTCAACTGATAACTGATACACAGTATCAATAAGCGGTCGCTATAAACTCGTAAGTATTAGCGTTCTTCGTAGAAGACATATCATTGGATCCATAAAAGATTAGATATGTACAAAGGTGAAGTCAGAGTAGTCTCATGAACATCGTTTATAGTCCTCTTTCACTTTTAAAAGCATAAGGCTCATACAAGTCGCAGAATCTTCCTGACTGTCATGGCCACTATCTGCAATAGATCCCCTGAGATTATTCAGCAAAGGAACTAAGTCGAGGGAAAAAAGGAATACTCCGTATGAACAGCTTACCATCTTCTTGAATTATTTTCTGGAGATATTCGCTAGCAAGATTCCTCAACGCTCGCTTGTAAGGAAAACCTTGTCTGAATGTTATAATAATAGTTAAAAAATAAACATCAGGTAATGAGAGCTCTATCGTTCAATACTAATTCTGCGATAAAGTAATGCCAACTTCTTAGATAAGCTGGGATTAACTGCATTTTATAACGTCACTCATTATCCTTGATTTCAACCTCAACGACAACAAAACACTAGTACTTCTTAACCACATACACTGGAACAAACATAAGGATAAAGGAGAAAACTCTCGGAGCTGATCAAGCCCTGAGGGATGCAGTATGCATTCGACTTTATTGGGCACCGTTTTGAGCTGAATGGATGCATATCTGGCCTCTACAATGACTCGCGGTAGTCTACCGATGTACCGAGCCAGTGCTGCTATTCTCACAGAGAAGTCTGGTACCAATTTTCCAACCCCGAGGGATGGAAGGCCTGCTGGGCCATAGGCGCGGGAATCGATTCCACGTGTGTTGCAGTGGCGCCTCCAACCACTGTGCCACACCCACGTGGAACACACATAGTTGTAAAATACCTATGTTCAAAAACGACAGCAGTGTCGACGACTCGCTCATGTCGAAGTCTCATCGCTTTCAAATCAGATTCCAGACTGTGACCTATTAGAATGCTTCGCTCATTAACCAGTTCGAATAACGAGTTTTGAGCCTAAAAGAGATGTAGCACTTCTAAAGCATGCGATGTTAAAAATCGACAATAAAAACAAAATCAACCTGAATCAGATCAACCGTAGAAGACTCTACTTGGTTTGCAGTTAGCCCAGAAAATCTTGTATTGTAGTCGATGACAGTGTTACGGGGCTTCACAATAATATCAAGTACCGATTTGTTGTTCATATCTACAACTGATACTCGAGCCAGTTCTGGTCCCCAGACACCGTACACCATCTCACAATCCATAGCATAAACCTATAACGGCAAAAATGCATTAGAAATAAGACGGTTACTTTAACCGTAAGTTGTTAATGCGTTTGTTCGGATGCTCGCTTTTCGAAAATCTGTAGAATACTCCTTGCTATAAAGCCGTAAGTGTGGAAATTTTGTAATATACCTATCAATTTCCAATCCTTTTAGAAGCGAAGATCAATCAAAAATTGAGAAGCTAAAACAAATGGAATTTCATCGTAGCACAGAAAGAGTCCATTTAGAATCCTATCTATACTAACAGCTCCTACTTTAGTTCCTAAAGTTCATTAGGGGGGGGAGAGTTTCTGGATCAAAATTGAGAGCGACCATTATTTTCGAAACGTATGTGACTCATGTGAGGTGGCTGCGAAAGTGCCAACGTAGCGCAACGGAAAGAATAAATTAAAAGAATACGTTTAAAATTCTATAGAATAAGTTTTTCCAGAAGCTCTCTAGTTTCAATTCCTTCACTATACCTTGCAATTTCTAGGATCGCTCTCCCCTGAAGAAACGGGTGTTGACGTGAATTCACGAAGTGCTTCTGCGTTCAAGGTATCAGAAACATGAGCTTCTGCTACGCAACATCCCGGTGTCATTCGATCAGCGCCACAACACGCAAAGAACGAGTCACCACGCATACCTAGAATGAAATGGTTCACAAATGGGTAGAAGAGTAGGGATAAAAGCTCACCACCGCGTCGCTGAAGACCTTTGAAGTGATAAACGCACTCGGCGGAAACTACTTTACCCTTAGGATCAAGTCTAAATTCCTTATGACATCGAGAACATAACCGGTCAAGATCTAAAAGAGAAAATCTCCATTGAAAACTAGAAATATTACCTAAAACAAATAAAAAGTGCCAAATACCATTTTTATCCGCCCAAGACTTCTGTGATTTAGATTTTTCAAAATGACTTTGTGCTATCGTTACAAGACTTTCATCACCCGGCACAGCTCTGGGATACCTCAATTCGATAACTAGTCAATTGTTCAGAAAAAATCATACATATTACAAAAACTACTGAGAACGTACCCGTTTCTCGTCAGCTGTTCATCCGTCATCAAGTACTTTTTGATGAGTAAGTTGTAAAACTCATTTTCACTGAGATCGCTGGAAGCTTCTTTGGATGATTTGCGAACCCCTATTGAAATATCACTTACATGTCTCCCAGCAAGGACAGCGTCATGCGAAAGAACTGTAAATAAATACTAATGCTTAGATATACATATTTATTCATATCCAAATTAAATAGATGGCAATTGGTGAAAGGATTTATTCAACTGAAGCTTGAATCTTATCGTTATAGGCCAACCAGGATAGAAGCAAAAACATCAGGCGGAATCAGTTATATAAGCATTCAACGGCACTCATGAAGATGAGAAAACCTTCATGTAGCAGTGTAACGAACCCGAAAATACGAAGACCTTCATAAAGGACGAGACGATTAACCAAATGAAAAAAGTGCTAGGATCTACAAAATGTGCGATGACGGCTCAAATAAATACCTACCTGGATACTTGGACTGACCTTCACGTGTCATCCAAATCACAGCACTTCTTCGAGTCGTTTAGCTGCCTTGCAACCGTCATCCACGGAAATGGTCGTAGGTGGCTGTGGATGGAACTTGACGCTCTGTTATCTTCTCATATTAGCACCTTCAATGGTGGTCGAGCATGATTTTTCCTTGAAAAACCGAAACAGTCGAGCTACCGTCCTTAGGCCGCTATCAGAGATAGTTGTCAGTCTTTGAAAATGAGAGTGGAATCAGTATCGAGAGTTAGATTCCTCCAAGACAGCGATGGAAGCGAATCCCGCGATTAGCAAGCCGATTTCCACACAAATGAAAAATAAGTAGCCGGAAGGGCATTCCAACTTTTAAGGGGTGTTTCGAGATCATATCTAGATCTCATGTCAAGTCCAGGTTCAATGTGTACCAGCCCTTCACGTGTACAATTCACCAAACATTGTAGGAACCAAAAAGAAAATGGGGTACTGTACCTTCGATACAAGCATGCATTATATCCTTGCAGCAAGAATTGTCCCAACGAAAATAAAAAGAAAGAGTCCATTAGAATCTCAAAGCGGAAGAAAGACCATTTTAATAGAAAGATTAAGCTAACAACCTACCGCTTCAATACATGATTCCTAACGGAAGGTGTGTGTAAATGGTTTCGTGACATACAAGACAAAAAAGTTTTATCACATGACTGTACTGACAGGGGTGAGACCAGAAAGTTTAGAACAAGGTGTAGGAAAACTTTTCCTAGAGCGACTTATAGCCTTCATCGCCACTTTTATATGTAGGTTCAAACTTCTATGCAATATAATCGTATAGCAGGGTTCCCGTTAATTGTTTACAACCGGAAACTGGGGTTTGTGAAAAAAATTGTTCCAGCGCAAACAGCATACTAGTTAAAGCAAGAGGTGATTCATTTGTTTCCCAATGAATACATCAGAATCAACATTTCCTTTTCCAACACACAAAAATCGATTTCGATTTTAACAAAACTACGCACCAAACGGAAGCATTATCAAATCCTTCTTTTCTATTACAGAATATCCCGAACAGCGTCTTTACTACATCAATAACGTCTCTTTTCGTCTGTTACTAGCCTTTTGTCGTTTCCATAATGGTGAAGAAAATGAAGCCTGAGTTTTGGAGTAAACATGTCAATATCTAATCAGACCATGTATTTTCTGAGGAACGGAATGGATCACAGAAAAGCTTCACAGCATAATAATTCTTTACGGAGTAGATGAAATGAAGTCCAACCACAAGAATGTTGAGATATGAGCAAAACCTGAGGCTTCATGTGGACCTCGAACCCACGATCATCACTATCGTGCGCTCACGTGCTATCTACCACACCAATAGAGACCTTTGGTTTGCCTTTCTACCAGCCATGTTTTTACACGGTTCTTGCGATTTGGATGTATAAAACCACAACCTGCACCAAGAGAACCGCCGTTCACCTCTTGAATAAAAATGCTTCGTACCTGCTTTAGATTTGCTAAAACTAGCAGACTTTGCGTTTCGGATTCGACCAATCAGGTTAATCGCGGCCACTTTATAGCCCTGGACATGACGAACTTTATCGAGAATTGCTTTCTCCTCAATTTCTGACTGGAACAGATTTTTTATAGAACATAATAAGAAGCGGAAACTCAGTTAAAAGCTATCAAAATAACGAACGAAGAAAAAATCTTGAGTAACGAAACTGGGCCACTTAGAAGCAAGAGCTCTTAATCCAATAGAGTTACAAATGTAATCCAAAAGATAACTTACGTTCCTGATGGCTTCAACTTGCGGACAAAGTTCTAGGTACTGTTTGAAGATCTTGTTTAGGAAATTCACGCGTATTGAGTAAGGAATTTTATGATTAGTCGGGTCACGTAGTTTAGGAGTGGAGTCTGTATGACTACTCTGAAAGATGGAATAAAATCGTACTGAACTTTAACATATGCACTCCTTATTGTTCACACTCAACCGGTCCAGTGGTCCGTGCCGTTCGTGCCTCGCCCTTAATATTGGAACCAATCGCATTTGGTCGACGGTGACTATATATCTGTTCTTGTGTTAAGGCACCCTAAATTATAACCTTTCCACATAAATCCAAGACTCCAATAAAGTTTTGTCAGTCTAAGACAGATAAATTCTACTACGTTCTCTTTCTAGTTACGTTGTACCTCAGAGACATTGGTCCACATAGGGGTAAGGTCCTCACGAATCCTTCGAACTCCCTTTCCGCTAAATATGTGACTGGTAGGAATATACTACGGTAGCAAAAATTGAGCATGTCTGTTGGCAATAGATAGACAAGAGAAGGTTTCCAAGCAGAGGACAAAAAGCACAAAAATACAAAGTTACAATGCTGCAAAATTGAAAAATAAAGAAGACACGGATCTAAGGACTGGGATCAATCCCGCTCTGAAGGCGAAGACGCCGAAACGTTAGCTGAAGAAAGCTTTTTTTCTATCGACCTCGTATTAGCTCATCAATGAAAGAATATATGAAAAAGAAGAAACTTAGAACAAAGATTTCGCAACAAAACAAAACTTGCATGAGTCCGGATACGCTATACCTGACCCCTTAAAAAGCGTATGGGAATGATATATTGGCAAAACGGCTCGACCACCATGTGTCCATATAAAACAACACTTAGATGTAAGTGTAGGGTTAAAAAAAAGCACTCCAATAGGCGCTTATAGGCCACAGATACATAACGAAGAAGAATTTGAAGTAAAAGTCACCATGCTAGCACAGGAATCTGGAATTTCAGCGCGCAATACACTCGGAGCTTACTTGATAATTTCTAAGAGACCCGAAATGAATCACAGGTAAGAATGCCTCATTGTCATGCTAGATCTCACATAATATTCCAGATTGATATTTCGACGTGAGAGCAACACTATCTACCCATGTGAGGTCAGTATGGTTGCTCTCCACTTGGAATATTGTGTGGAAAACTCATACAACTCGGTGGGTGCGCTAAGAAGGTATTTTATTTTAGTGCGACTGAAAAGTAGGTATTATGGTTTTCTTTTGGGGTTACGGGGGAGCTCGGCTGAATAGTTCAATCAACCTGACCTTTACTAAGCTAAGGTGAAATTTGCCGAAACGTGAGCTGTTACAAACAGTATAATAACACCTTCCCCGTAACGGTTTACCGCCTCATCGTGGGTAGGTGTTCCTGCGTGTCGAGGTGTTGCACAGCAGGGAGATTCATCACTCCAGCAGGGTATCCCAAGCACAGAGTCCGATGTTTCCATCAGGAAGCCTAGTTGGGAGTAAATCAACACCGGGATCAACCACCATCCTGGCAACAAACTAGTCTAAATGTGCCAAAGTGCTCTATGATCCAAAAGGGTGGTGGTGACGATCTGGGCAGGTTTTGGGCTGGTTTACCTCAGAATTCCAGGGAACATAACGGCAAAACCAGAAAAACTCCCAAAAACTGAGGATTATGCTGCAGCCCGGACAATTGGTGAGGATGAGCCATCCAAGTATTCAAATAATTAAGTAGTAACACCTTCCCGCGTTTATATGGAAAATAACGAGTTAAAGCGAAGAGTTCACCGAAAAACAAGGTTTAACACCGGTTCACAATTAAAGAAAAACGAAGCAAATGCTATGTCAACCTGTGTCTTCGTTGTAGTTTGAGATGTAGGCTTCTCACTTGACAGGGCGTTCATTCTTGCTTGAAGTTGTTCCTTAGCATTCGGTAATTTTCGTCGTGACGATGGAGTCAACTTCATTGGTTGATGTTGTTCCTATAGAGAATAGCAGACTCCAACTTTATCATAGAACTTATGAATTTAAGTAGTCAAAATCCGAGCTGTGAAGGTGACCAGAAAACCACGTCGAAAAGAAATACTTTAAATCATATAATAAAAATGATCAATGCTTTACCGACTCCCTAGCAATTCGTTTCTTGGAAACTGTCAGCGATTCGAGATTGGTTCCTTCTGCAAGTTTTGAGACAACTGGTACTGCTATATCAGTTTTTCCACAATCTTTGCTCGATTTACGCTCCGTTTTACCTTCGGGGAACATCGAGGGCGAGGATGACAGAGACCCGTCATTATTAGATGGATGTGATGATGAGATCTTCTTCACGTTAGTACGGCGTTTCTGAATATTCTGTGAATGAAACTTGAAATAATGGCTACAGTGAAGATGATAACGACCGATATGATGAATGAGACTAAATTGATCCAACAAAGGTAGACCATTAAGTTTAGCAGCCTAATCATAGCCGTCGGCACCAGTAACGGAAACAGTAACTTCAAATTACGCTAAGGAATGCTATTCATTCCAGTTGACACGATTAGGATTTTATTGGAATCCAAAGTTTTAAAGCGAAGTTGAAATGCAAGACATTAAAATGCCGAAATATATATGGAATAAAGCTAAGCATAAAAAAACAAGCTCAATACTCAATGAAAAAGAATTGTTAAAGGCCAAACCTGAACTTAATCAATAGCAAGGAATAAAAGTGTATTCTACTTCACTAAGCATCGTTAGAGGTGATTGAATGCATATCTGGCCTTCACAATGACTCGCGCTGGCCTAGCAATATATCGAGCCAATGCTGCTAGCTTCCCAGGCAAGTATGGTACCAATTTACCGATCCCGGAGGGATGGAACGCTTGGTGAGCCACGGGCGCATGGATCGACCCCATGTG